GATAAGCTTGTGGTATGTTTTTCCTTATTATAACTTGTCAAAAGTATTATTAACCTTTCTCAGGCAACTGCTGTTCTTTCAGTTACTAGACAAGTTGAAAATATGGATGCAAGGGTGACTAGCATTCATGATCATCTTGTGAATCTTTTTGATTACTGCATTAATGCATACTAATATCCTCATAGTTAAGTTCTTCAAGAATGACTCAATCTATCAAGTATGTTTCTGTATATTTTTTAAAGTATAATAGATCTCATAATAGTCTACTGATTAGTAGCCTTATGCTCTCTGCTATTCCACCACCACCACCTCTTATATTTAAGGGTCGAGATAGTTTAGTACAAGAGGGCACAGATAATCTTCTTTCTGACTCTCCTCATCCTATTGTTATTATGGGATTTGGTGATATGGGGAAAACATCATTAGCATTGAAATTGCTGGATGATGTAGCTGTAAAAAATAAATATGGAGCATGCAGATACTTCATTCCTTGTGATGAAGTTTGCAGCATTGAGCCTACTATTGGGATATTAATACAAACTGTAATGAGATTAATGGGGTTGCAAACCACCAGTGATCCTATAAAACAGCTATATGCTATATCAAAGCCAATGATCCTACTTTTTGATAGTTTTGAGACTATTTGGGATAAAAGTAATAATCAAAGTGTTCAAAGAGTTTTAGAGCAGTTGAATACTATAACACATATTACTCTGATGATTACTATGAGAGGAAATATTCCTCCTATAGACAATATTGACTGGCTGTTATTACCACATAATGGTCTATCATCATTAGCTGAATCTTCATCATTAGAAGTATTTACTGCTATTTCAGGATATAGTGATAGTATAAAAACAGTCGTAAAACTAGTTGAAAAGCTAGAAGGATGGCCATTAGCTCTTATGTTAATGGCCTATCAAGCTAAAATTCTTCATCCAGAAGTGCTTTTAGAGAGCTGGGATAAGGAAAAAACCTCATTATTAGAAAAACCAGGAGCTCAATCACATCACTTAACAAGTGTTAATATTTCAATCAAACTTACCCTTCAATCACCATTGTTTTCAAAACCAAATATTTTCAAGGCGTTAAGTATGATATGCTATCTTCCTGATGGTATTCCTTCATGGAAAAAGATATTAAGCAAAATGCTACCAGATCTTTCAGAAAGAATTGGAATCATATCTAATTTATTACAATCTAAAATTATATATGAAGATAGCAAAGGAGGATTGAAAATATTACAACCAATTCAGGAATATCTGAAAGTGTATTTTCAGAAGCCAGATATATATATAAAACAGCAGTTTTGCATTTTTTATCTTAATGAGAGTAGACAATTTGAATTTTCAATTTCACAAAAAAATGCAAAATTTGGTTTATCTCATTTAAACAATTTTGAATGGATATTTAATGAGATTTTGATTAATTGTAATTCTGAGAAAGAATTGATAATGATTTATAATTTTTGTTACTTTCAATATATAAATATGAAATCAAACATACTATTAAAAAAAGTTATAAACTATAGCAAAAAATCAGAATATGCAATATTTGTATGCTTTAGCAGTATTATTATTAGGCAAAAGATTACATATGTTTAGTCAACAACAAGCAGCATTAGAGAAAGTAAATGAGGCAATGCAAATCTTTGAGACAATTGATAACTCTCTTGGAGTAGCACAGTGTTTACAAAGCATGGGAGGTATTTTAAAAATGATAAATCAATATACAGAATCAAAAATCAAGCTAGAGAAAGCAATACAAATATTTGAGACTATTGGCAAATCTCTAGGAGTAGCACAGTGTTTACAAAGTTTGGGAAATATTTTACAGATGATAGACCAATATTCAGAAGCAATAATCAAGCTAGAGAAAGCAATGCAAATGTTTGAGACTATTGGAGACTCTCTTGGCATAGCACAATGTTTACAAAGCTTGGGAGATATTCTGCAGATGACATGTCAATATTCAGAAGCAACAATTAAGCTGACAAAAGCAATGCAAATGTTTGAGACCATTGAAGACACTCTTGGAGCAGCACAGTGTTTAAAAAACTTGGAAAATATTTTGCAGATGACAGATCAATATTCAGAATCAAAAATCAAGCTAGAGAAAGCAATGCAAATGTTTGAGACCATTGGCAACTCTCTGGGAGTAGCATAATGTTTAAAAAGCTTAGGAAGTATTATGCGAGTAACATATCAATATTCAGAAGCAAAAATTAAGCTGGAGAAAGCAATGCAGATGTTTGAAACTATTGGTGATTCTCTTGGAGTAGCACAATGTTTACAAAGCTTAGGAAGTATTTTGCGGATAACAAATCAATATTCAGAAGCAATAATCAAGCTAGAGAAAGCAATGCAAATGTTTGAGACTATTGGAGACTCTCTTGGCATAGCACAATGTTTACAAAGCTTGGGAAATATTTTAGGAATGATGAATCAATATTCAGAAGCGACAATCAAGCTGGATAAAGCAATGCAAATGTTTGAGACTATTGAAGACACTCTTGGAGCAGCACAGTGTTTAAAAAACTTGGGAAATATTTTGGGGATAACAAATCAATATTCAGAATCAAAAATCAAGCTAGAAAAAGCAATGCAAATGTTTGAGACTATTGGTAATTCTGATGGAGTAGCACAGTGTTTGCAAAGCTTGGGAAATATTTTGCGAATAACAAATCAATATTCAGAAGCAACAATTAAGTTAGAAACAGCAATGCAAATGTTTGAAACTATTGGCAACTCTCTTGGAGTAGCACAATGTTTACAAAGCTTGGGAAATATTTTACGAACAACAAATCAATATTCAGAAGCAATAATCAAGCTGGAAAAAGCAATGCAAATGTTTGAGACTATTGGCAACTCTCTTGGAGTAGCACAGTGTTTAGACAGTATCAAATCTTGTCAAGCATATTTATGAAGAGACTTTTATAAATTTATTCATATTATCATATTACACTATATTATAGTCTTAACAATTGAATAAAAGGAAGTTGTAAAAAATAAGTGTATAGGTCAGAATTTAATAAATTCTTATCACTTAATTTCACTCTTAATGTCCAATAGACTCACACACTCTACTCAAGTAAGGAGTATATATGATCTCTTATAACATTTTAATAACATTTAAGGGACAGAGTATTATCTAAAACTAACTAACTCTTTAGAATATTAAGAGCAAGCCTTATTTTACTTAGATATAACCTACAACATTGAACAGAGAATCAGGATGTGCACTTGTCCACACCCTTATAATCCATTGTTGAAGAGTATTCTTTGCTGCTGTGCAAAGCTCATTATGTTACCTATTGCTATATCCAGCATTTATGGTTGAAACTAAGGGGCTGGTTGAAGGAATGATATGATACCCTCTCAGCTTGGTGACTAAAATTTGGACCATTTTTGTCTAGTATGTTAGACTTTTACTTCTCTATACATCTCATACTCATTGATACCCAGGTATATGCATGTTGACAATACCTGACAGCCACTCCAGTTGATGCAGAAACATTTATTGTTGTTATTGCTGTTTTTACAAATAATGTCAGTCGCTATTTTTATTAAAAAATCATTTTGGGCCATGTGAGCAGGTGACATCACTAGAGCATAGGGCATCGATGTGACCACTGTCGCCTTCCCTTCCCTCCTGCCCATCATCTCTCTCTTGTCTACAGTGTTCCCACCTTTATCCTCTATGTTATGGTCAACTGATGCATCAGTGATGACTTGAAAATGGCTGCTCTCCATCTCAAATGGCATGGCAAGGATACTGACACAGAGATTCAGCAAATTGTGGGCTTTCATATTCGCACTCTCTATCGCATACAGACTCACTTTTGTAGGACAGGAGATGTTGCTAAGGCTAAGGTGCTTGGACACGGATGTCCTTGGAGCCTTGTAGAGGCAGATGCAGCCTACCTTGTTTCTCTTTCCAAGCGAAATCCTGCTCTCTTTCTCGACGAATACCAGAAACTGTCAAGCACCAACTTGGATAAGCAAGGTCGAGCCTTAGTCTATCACTCACACTTCAGTGAAACAGAACAAAGGTAGTGATGCAGACTGCGTAAAGATGTCAGGACTTAGATAGTTGTGGAACTTAGAGTTTAGATAAGAGTTGGGAGTATATAACCTTAGCCAAAGCTGGGGTTTAGACCCACAGCTAAGGTTGCTTAAATACAAGTTATAGTAGAGTAATAATAACTTTGCTACTATGGTTCCATGATAAAGAACGAGTGTCATATATCCAATGGTGAGTTGCCAATGAAAGGACTATCCAATGGTGAGCGGCCAGTGAGATGAGTGAGGTTCTGGAAGAGTGGTGCCCTTGTGGCTGGGACTCTGCCTGAGTAAGAATGACTGAGCTCATCCACTGCGAACCAGGGATCAAGTGATGCAGAAGTGAATATTGATGATCAGAACAGCGATGCGATGATGGGAGATTAGAATGTGATGCAAGGGTAGTGGAGTGGGTTACAAATGAGCCAGATAGGGGTTAAGGAGTGATGATGAGGGTCAGATTATGATTGAGGAAGAATGGTGTGAACCAAATGACTAAAGCAAAAAATGAGGGTGAATTCATGACAGAAATGACTTGAATGATATCACCGTGTCTGTTGAAGAGGCTGGTTGTGGGCACCTGTGGAATAGTGAGCGGGCTAAAAGGTGAACCTCAAAAACCCACACACACACTCACACAACTACACAAACTACAATCACCCTCGTAAGTTCTAGGGGGAGTGATTATTTCTAATGCGATCCACTATACTTCAATATCTCGAAGAGTTTCTCTTATTCTCAGTGCTCTTAGTGAAGCTAAGCTTTCTCTAATGAATCCCTAAGTCTAGGAACTTTTACAGGAAGGTTGTTCACTGGCACAACGCAACCTTCAAGGCAGATTTGAGTTATAATACACAAGGGACACTGATCCCGACAGAAACAGAGGCAATACATGCTGAAACTTTAGTGAGCTTGCTAAAAGAACACCACAGGCAAGCACTGACTTAGCCCGCTCACTACACAACTGTATGTAGGGGTTCTCCAACTAACTTCAACAGATGATCTTGACTCAAGAACACTTCAGAAGTGCTCAGAAACAGATTCAGAAAACGGAAACTCGAAACAGAACTGATGCAGAACAGACTGAACAGAACAGAACAGATCTCGCTTTTCCTCTTCAGAACATACTCCAAACAGACTTATCAACACTCAATGGAACAGAACAGCTTCACTGATTCTTATTCTCTCAGAACTAAGTGCACAAAAAGTCTTTTCTCAAGGGTATCTCGTATTTCTCTGAGTGAGCTCGCTAACTCTATGCAAAGCTCGAAGTCACAAACTGATCCTTTGTTACAGTACCGCCTTCAACATGTGCATGGGAACTCGGGGGCTCGAAACTTGGCCTCTACCTACTGTAACCAGCCTACTTATACCACAGGGAAATTAGAATTACAAATGTTGCACAGTACCCAGACTCCTACATGCATAGCACATTGCCACTGCTGCCTTACTGAGCATCCAAGTTGGACTTCCCAGTTTTAGTCTCATTTCTATAGTGAGCTTGCTAAACACATGCCAAGAAGTGCTTCCCAACACCCATGGGCTTGGTCTCTAGCGACCAACAGGTCTAGGCACATGGAACTATCAGTCCTGATGTATGTTGTTCAAGACTTCTTTCTTGGATTCACAGAGGCTTCTCATAGACATGGCAACAAGTGAGTCTTCTAACAATGGGACTCAGAACAATGGGACGTGGGCTCATGGACTTCAGCTGAAGCCCATTGCCCCAGTTCGTGCCAGTGCTATCTGTCATCTCACTTAAGGATTTCCCCAGATTTTCAGGTACAGCACATCACAGTTAGCGAGCGTGCTAAGTATTCTCAGTGTCACTGCAACCTTCAAAGTTTTATCTAGCTCCCGTGAGTGTGCTTGTAAGTTAGAGCCTAAGGCATTGGGTATAGGGTTTGGCCTTCTCATCATGCATGCCCATCAGGTACAGTGCAGTGACTAAGTCCTGTTTAGAATCCCATTGCTTCTTATGCTATAAGTTATATTCCATATCATTGCACTGCATAGCATTAGTGTCGACGTGTAGTTTTAGTCCGCTCACTCACTATATCTCAGTATGCATGTAAAACACATTAGATTGCAAAATTACATGCATAAATAGGCTGCAGTCGCAACATATCCCCCCCACTAAAGTCCTGACCATCCTCGGTCATCATGTTGTGGGTCCGCATGTTCTCTTTCCTTTCCATGTGCTCCGAATTCAAAGGCACAGGTTCCGGGTACATCAATGTTCATAGAAGTTCTCATGTGAGTGCTTCTTTTCTTATTAGAAGGTCGGGGACCAGAGAGCTCACTAAATAAAAGCGAAGTCCCTCCAGTTTTCTTTCCCACCTTTCTGCTCTTTTTGCCCACTTTTCTAGTGAGCTCGCTCTTTGTCTTCTCCTCTGCGATTTCTGTCGCCGCTGTTCAACTCAGTATGTGTTCTAATGCGTGCTGTCACCATTGTCTGATGTTTCTCTTTGTCTCGGAAGTCTTTTCCACATGTCCCCACCTTACTCCAGCTGTCGCCGCTATCCCTGAGCCTTCTCCATCTCCGGAGGAGCCTGTGCGGTACCAGTACTTTGCTCGCTTCAACCTGCACGAGTATTATTACATGTATCATCGGGTGGCGGCCCTCTTCGTGCTGGTGTACAATCACTGTGAGGAGCACACCCCGGAGATTATCTCTGAAATGTTTCATAAGGTCTACACCCTGCTGGTATGTCTCTCTTTACTACTCCCTTTCCTCTTTGCGTTCTAACCCATTTCGACTGGTCTAGCTGCCTAACATGCACCTCCTCTGTCACCAGGGCCTCATCGACTCACATATTGGGCGCTTGTATCTGGGGATTCCTTAGGTGCTGGCACCCACACCCTGCCTCCCAGGCTTAGGGTCCAGCACTGGAATCAGGTGCTAGCACGCATCCCCATGGAGATGCATTCCTCACATGTAAGTGTTTACGCTTCTTCTCTCTCCTTGCCCGGCTCACGGTTTGGTCTCACAGGTCTTGACTAGTCTGGAGGTCGGGTTGCCATTCCTTGGTGAACCCGGTTTTGTCAATGACTTCACCGCCTGCTCCCCCTGGTCCATTACCTCCTGCAGCAGGAGGTTCCCAAATCCAATGCCCTGCTACGAACTCCACTGATTGATGAGGATGCCTTTCCAGGCATGGTTTTCCCTTGATATCTGACTCCCTTGCCAGATGACATCGATGAGCTGGCTTCAGAGTGAGGGACTCCAGTTCCCCTACCTCGTTGTCACCATGATGCCCAGCCCAAGGGCACCAGTCCACTTCGAATTTTAGCCTGCTCTCTACTGGGCAGATGCTAACCCTGGCTACCACCTATCCTCCGCCCTCTGCACCTCCTGTGGGGCCACACAGATGGCACCTCCACCCTATCAGGCTCTAGCTCCTCA